CTTTCAAAAGCGGTAATCAGAGCCAGCGCGTCGGGAATCGTCTTCGGCTTTCGACGCGCCAGACGTTCGAGCGCGTCCAAAGGATGGACGGGGAGGCCGTCGGACTCAAAGGCGAACATGCTCGCGGCGCAGCCCGAGCCGTAGGAAAAGCACAAGACGCGTCCGTCAGTTCCTCAGATAACGAGCGAAAGAAGACACGCGTACAGAGGGCACGTGTACGTCGTCGCGTTCTGAGCGCTGATCGCCGTGCCGAGCAGGACGTGCCTGTCGTAGAGCCGCTCGTGATCGCCTTTCGACAGGGCGTGCATGGCCTCGCACATGACTCGGAAGTTCCGCTTGGCGTGGTACGGAGCGTTGCAGTGGTAGGCGACGCGATCGTAGACGAGGAGAAGGTCGCGACGATCGAAGCGGCCCTGGCACCAGAGCATGGCCTCTTCATACTAGGTGGTAGCCACGGCGACGTCTACGAGGGCGTCGTTGGACGACCATCCGACGGGCCGGTAAAAGTCCCAGGCATGCTTGACGAAGGTCGTGCACCGCGTCTCCATGGCCAGAGAAGCGCGCGGTCCCGCGAGCAAGGACACCGCCGACGCGCCGACGCCGGCCAATTGAGCCGGGTCCGGGTGCACGGCCGGGTCAGAGCAGACGACGGCGCCGTACCTCCCAGTCCATCCCGGGCCGTGAATCCAGTTCCTGGTGCTCAAGAGCGCGTTCGTACCGCCGTAACAGGCGTTCACGGTGTCCGCGCCCTGGACGTCGAGGTCGCCGGTCGCCTCGAACAAAGACATGAGGAAGGACTTTGTGGACTTACCACGGTCGACGCTGCTCTCCGTACCACACTCGAGTCGGCCGACGTCCTCGAAAGCAAGCTCGCTTCGAGCGAGCAGCCGACAAAGCGCCGACAGCGCCATCGAAACCGCGTCCTCGTCGTCGCTCGCGAAAGTGACGAGCTCCTGGCCTCGGCCCACAGTGTAGCGCCCGGGGCTGCCGTGGAAGCGCTCCACGTCCGTCGCACGGACGCAGAGACTCGGTGCGTGGTAGTCCAGGGCGACGATGCCCGCCTCGTCCGCGCGGCGCCGTCTCCGGGCGTCTCGGGCGACCGGCGGGAGCGACGAGGCGCCGGCGCGTCGCGCGTGTACGCCGAGTGCGCGGAGCGCGACGGCGCCTTGGGCATCGAGTAGCGTCACGTTGGTAACATGGAAGTGCGACGAGTCCTGGACCCGTCAAACGTCGATCCAGACCGCATTCGCGGGGCGCGACTCGATCGCGTCGATCGCCAGGACGTCGGCTGCGCTTCTGTCCAGGACGCCCGTCTCGAGGGCCGCCGTTGTGCGCAGGGCAACGGTGAAGGCGGTCTCGAGCGGAAGCGACATTCGCAGACGGCCCAGCAAGGCACCGGAGCGGTCGAAGAGCAGAGACGCGACATCGAGGTCGCCGACGACGACGCGCCCCTCGACCGGCGCGCCGAATGAGCGCCGCTCGAAA